TAGTGAAGAATTTCTTCCTAACATCTAACCCAAATCTCCCCTCTTGCAGTTTAAAACCATCACCCCTTGTCCTCTCAAGTCTGCAGGTTCTTATTATAGTTGACAAAGGAGGCACCTACACTTGACAAGATTGAATGAATGAATCATGGAATTTGTTACCTTTTGAAAGGTGGTGTTGTTATCTGACATGACTTAATTAACAGTCTAGTTGACAAAATAAATTACTTGGAAAATGCTTGGATGGCAGGAGTGGTTTAGAGACACTCAGGGTGGAGCTGCTTCACTGCTGGGGACAGTCAGCTTCCAGTAGACATTCGAAATGTTGCACAGAGGGAAATGCAGGTAGAAACTGTAGCAACTGAATATATATGTTTTTTTTCCCCTTTTCCTAAAGAATCTAAGTCAATTACACCCAGCTTGTTGTTAAGTTAATTTGTCTGTCATGCCTCACCAACAGCCAGGACTGGGGCTTTGTTAGCATGCCCTTTTTTCCTAGCCTTTGATGGGAATTAAGGTTTAAACATTATTAGAAAGCTCATACAAGTTTTAAAAATTAAGCTACCTTTCACTAGAACCATTGTTTTAAAGGCATCTCATTTCAGCATTTATGATTTGCTATGATGTTGAAATAAATAGCAACTGTAATACAAAAATACCCACTAGTATGATGGGCTGGTTTACTGTAGAGTTGGCCTTAATATAAATGTAATCTCCTCTTTCTTCAGATTGTTCCATACAGGTACATCTTGAAATTGTCTTAGGACAAACAAAACCCTCAGATTTTACTGTATTCTATTCTGTTGACTGTATTTCACTGATTTTACTCAGCAAAACTCAGACTTTGCTGCAGTCTAGGCAGTGACCTTCTGACAGTTGTAAATATCTGTCCTCTTTTCCAAGCCTTTTGCATCATGCTGAAATGCTGAAGTTCATCACACTGGATTTTGTAGTGTCAGAAATTTGGGGTAGAAACATGAACATGCAGGTGGAGTTTTCCAGGCATGGTTTACTAGCCACTTCTTCAAGTCTCTCATTAAGTAATTTGGAATGATGTCAGTTAATGAAGCCAAATGTTAAATGTTGAAACTTCCACTTTTTGAGATGCGTTCAAGCAATAAATCTGTGTAATTGGAAGAAATTACCAAGGGGATTTATTTTTTTATTTTCCCCTTAAATATCCCTGAAGTTATTCTGTCTGGAGCTGTTCATAAAATATGAGGTATCTTACCTTCCACATCTTGTGTCTGTGGAGTAAAGTGTTGCTAATAACTGGTATCAGAGCAGACTCAGGCTCCTGTCTGAGGGGTCTGATGTCTTCAGCTTATTTGTTTCCCAGTTCATGTTTACTAGGTGTTTTTGTTCAATCAAGCAACATTTCACACAGCACTTGGGAAAACAAAGCTGTATATGGGAGCTAAATATTAGTAAGGAAATGGCAATTAATATTTTATTACTTGAGCCTAGTTAATGATTTGCTCAGAGTCCCATAGAGAACACACAGTCATAAATGTGAGCAAAAGTCTAGGACACTTGTTCCCTCAAATTAAAACAGGCACGTTTTCTTTGGATGGCCAGGTCTGTAATATCCTGAAGGAACAATCTCATTTTGAAATAAAAAGCTGCTTTTGCAAATGCTGCTTTGTTCCTTTGGAAACTTAGCCTGGGGTGGGTGGAGGTGGGTGATGTTTAATAGCAACAATTGAAATGTGAAGTCGGTTTCTTAGGAGAATCACGACAGCAGAGTCACCTCTTCCTGCTTTTGTTCCCCTACCCAGCCTTGGTGTTTCACTGCACTCCTCCTCACCTCTGTTCTCTTTACATCTTCCATCATGCTAAGCTTTCAGTTCCTTTTAACTCTCCCGAGCAAAACAGCTGTCTCCTCTCCCTACGTTTTTCTCTCTTTAAAATTGATTTTGATGTTAAAAGGAGCTTGTGTGAATCCTGCTGTAACAGGTCACGGGTGGTGGTTATTACTGGTGTTCAGTGTCTTGCTGTTTATTGCATGAGGTGGAGTAACTATCCCTTTATGTGTGGGAGGGAGTAACTATCCCTTTATCTGTGGTGTTAATAAGGAAAGGTGTATAAAAAATGCTTTATGGTTTGGGGAGAACACTTACTAATGTGGCAGCATTAGAGGAGAAGAGGAAGAGGAGTTCTGCTCTCTTAAGTAAAAGAGAAATATTTTTAGCTTTTCCCCCTTCATGCTTCTCTTTGCTGTGTGCTGTAAGTGTGGTGGGTTCTATCATTCAACACAAACAGAAAGATTTCTTTTTAGGGCATGTGAGACCACTGAGAAGTAGGAGTTAAGCTTGTTACATGAATGGGGAGGTAATTTTATAACCAGATTAAAACCTGGGAATTAACTCATGACTGATTCAACTGCTTTTTTTTGTTAGTGTTTTTTGCTGTCAGGAGAAGGCAGATGAGCTTTTCAGCAGCTTTTGGGTTAACATACAGATTTGTTCCATAAAACATTATCAGCTTCTATTGATATAGCCAGATAAAGCAACATTGCTCTGCTTTTAAGCCATTACAAAGCCATGTAATGCAGCTTATAAAGTTAAAACCAATTTTTTTTCTAGAGGTTTCACAAAACCTGTTTCCTTACTTAACTTACTGTGCATCTCTGCTATTTGCAGTGTGAAAATGTGTTTTAACAGAAAAGGTATTTTTGCTCATGTTTTGAAACAAGTCTCACATGCATCCCTCTGATCTTGGCTGTTGAGAATAGAGAGATCCCTTAATCCAATTATTTTCACACCCTGAAACATTAGAATTCAAGAATGACTATAAAAGGGGTATTTTATGAATATTTGGTTGTAGGGGGAGGAACAAATGTAATGTTTTTGATTTTGGTATTTGTCTTTTTTCTTTCATTTGCCTTAGGCTAGTTCTTTGGTTAACCAAATCCACTGTAATCCCATCAGGAGAATGTGGTGATTGTTTAGTAATTTATATTGTATGGTTGTCTTAATCCAGGTTCTGTCATTGTAGCAGAAAATATGAATCCTAGCCCACCATATGACTCGACTGTGACCAGATGGAAATAATAAAGTGTGTAATAAATGGCCTCCTGTTGTACAGTGCAGTTCTGAGGATGATTTTCTTCCAAAGCAGTTTTTCTTTCTAAAACTCAGATAAGCACAGACATCATTCCCAATTTCAAGAGTTTTTATCTGTGAAAAACTGATTGATTGGGAGAAGTCATTGATCTTTGTAACCCAGAGGATCCTTGCCCACACCTTAACTGAGCTATGGGAAGAGGTGTGCAGCTCTGAAAACCAAATTTAACTGAGTGGGATCGTTCATGTTTCAGCAAGTATCAATCAAGAATCAGTATCAAATCTGTGCAGTTGCTTAATGTGGATAATCAGAGGCTCACTCTGACTCCTAGAGGCTGTTAACATCTGCTGAGAACTGCATATAAGGTTGATACTGCTTCATTCCAGGAGTCCTGAAGATATTGGAATTCAGAGGGCTGTTTTTTTCCATGTTTTAACTACATGAAGGAAAGTTTCCTTGAAGTTCATAGATTCATAGTGTGTGTGGGTTTGGAAGGGACCTTTAAAGGTCATTTAGACCAGCCCACCCTGCAGTGCACAGGGACCTTTATGACTAGATCAGGTTGCTCAGAGCCCCATCAAGCCTGACCTTGAATGTCTCCAGGGATGGGGCCTCCACCACCTCTCTGGGCAACCTGTTCCAGAGCTTCACCACCCTCAGTGGGAAGAACTTCCTAATGTCTGATCTAAATCCACCCTGCTCTAGTTTAAGGCCATTGGCCCCATATCCTACCGCTACAAGACCTTGTAAACAGTCTCTTCCCAGCTTTCCTGGAGCCCCTTCAGGCACTGGAAGCTGCTCTCAGGTCTCCCTGGAGCCTTCTCTTTTCCAGGCTGAACACCCCAACTCTCCCAGCCTGGCTCCAGAGCTGCTCCAGCCCTCCCAGCATCTCCATGGCCCTTCTCTGGCCCCTCTCCAACAGCTCCATGTCTCTCCTGTGCTGAGGGCTCCAGAGCTGGACACAACACTCCAGAGGGGTCTCAGCAGATCAGAGCAGAGGGGCAGAATCCCCTCCCTGGCCCTGCTGGCCTCATTTCTTGTGATGCAGCCCAGGACACAATTGCCCCTCTGGGCTGGGAGTGCACATATTTTGCTCCTGTAAGTTCAGACTTGCAAGACAGACAGACATTTTCCCTTCCATCTCCTGCTTTCTTTGGAGTTATTTTTATTTGGGGGACTTCTTAGATAAGTAGTGTATCATTACCAGCAGTGACAGTTACACTGTGTACTTCATTTGATAACCTGAAGGTAAAAAAGCAAGTTGTGCTTTGCCTGGAGTCAGTGCATTGAATCTTTTCATTTACATTTGCACCCACATGGGAGCTAATACTTGGATTAAAATCAGTCAGTGTTTGAAGCCTTTCTCTTGGCTACATGGCATTGTTTTTTGAGTGCTGGGATTCATTATGAGAATAATAGCAGCAGTTAAATGTTCATGTAAACTGTATAAGGAACACAGATTTAGATCCCTTGCGTGACACGATGTATTTTTACTAGTTGATATTATTGTAACAGTTCCACTGCTGCTTCCAGCACCCATTGACACACACAGGGTGACAGATGAGGCTTGCACACAAATACATGTTTTGCATCAGTGAACGTAGGACTTTGTTTTGAAATGTGGTCTTTTCACTTCCTGGCTGGATTTTTGTGAAGCTGTGAGGCTGCTCTCCTGTTACAGGTAGGAAATAGAAAAAGTGTCATGAGGTTTAAGAGTCAGGTTGAGTGATTGTCCCTGTTCTTGGGTGGCTTTTGCTAAGACAAAGTTATGAGTATTAAATGGAACATTTCCTTAAGGGGAATAGATCTCTTGGAGTGCCTTGATTATCCTACACTTTCTTTGAGAACCTAGGAAATGAACTGACCAGAATGTTGTATTCATTGGAATCTGGGCTTTGGAAAGCTGTGCTAATTTTCATTTTCTTCTGTCCCTGTAGCTTAGATATCAACATGGGCTGAGTACTCCAGATCTAAGGCAGACTCTTCCTAACCTGAAAAACTTCATGGAGCTTGGACTAATGGTTAGATGGTAAGTATTTTTTTGGTTTTTTTTGTAATTAGAAAGAGGTGGGAGCTACAAAAATGTAGCTGTAAAAATTACTCACAGACAAGCAGCTGCTCTTTGTAAGGATTAATCATGCTTGGTGACTTCCCCAAATTACAGGCCATGTAAGATGTCCACAATATTGCACATTTTTCTTCTGCTTTTGTAATACCATCTGTGTGATGGGCCCATAATGCTTCTTGCAGGAGTGAGGGGGCAGGGGAAGACTGTTGGAAAAGCAGTGCTCTTCACTAGAGGCAGATGAATTAATCATTCTTTTAAGAATGTATTTAAGGATAAAAAATCAAAGCAGGCTGGTTTCTGTCTTAAGAAGACTAAAGTTAGTGTGGACTTCTCTTGCAGCAGCCTTTAGTAATTCTCCTTAAACCCATTAAACATAAGTAAATGTGGGAGGGACAATTCACTAGCAAGTGCATTTCTGCAAGTGTTAGATGTTTGTATTCTCATTTTTAAAATTCATGGTCTTTGTATTGTGTGTGCTCATGCAGCCTCTTCTCTTCAGCAGTTTTGTCTTCATTCTTGGGGTGCCTGCATCCCACCCAAACATTAGCATTGTTCTCTTTTAGGGATCACTAGGTTAATTATTCACTGCTCCAAAGTTGCACAGATCTTATTTGGTCCCTGTGTCATTCCTGATCACATGCAGATGCCCTGGATACTCCAAGGTATTGAAAATACCATCCAGTGTGAGGATGGTGAGCAAAGCCACCAGCTTTTGCTGCCATATGATCTAGTGATGATATGAGCTCCTTTGCTGCTTCAGCTGATCTGAGAAATCAGCTCAAGTGATCAGCCTGGAGAAGAGGAGGCTCTGGGAAGACTTCTTAATGGCCTTCCAGTATCTGAAGGGGCTCCAGGAAAGCTGGGGAGGGACTTTTGACAAGGGCATGAAGTGAGAGGACATGGGGTAATGGATTGCAGCTGGAAGAAGGGAGACTTAGGTTTAACATTAGGGAAGCTGTGGCTGCCCCATCCCTGGCAGTGTTGAAGGGCAGGTTGGATGGGGCTTGGAGCAGCCTGGTCTGGTGGGAAGTGTCCTTTCCCATGCAGGGGGTTGGAACTAGATGATCTTTAAAGTCCTTTCCAACCCAAACCATTCTGTGATTCTATGAAATAATTTGTTCTTCCACATGTTATGCTAAATGGGGGTGAAAGAAGGTCCTTCTAGTCTTCCTAACAAAAACTTCTTATTCCTAATAAGATAATGAACTACAAAGCACTAGTAGCCAAACCTTAATATTGTGGGGCTAGTATCATAGGGGAGAGACTCAAAACCAGGCTTGAACTAGTTTTTACATCTCTTGTGAAATGACACAAAACATTGTGGCACTGGCCTTTCTTTGCCAGTGGTGTTAAAGTTTTTTAGGGCTCTTTGATTCTATCTGAAGTCTTTACTTGTTAAACCAGCAGGTAGCTCAGCAGGGCAGGTACAGAGGCAGAGCATAGGCTGGAATTTGCAGCAGTGGGAATATTTGTCTGAAATGAAGGGAAAAAAAAGTGTTCCATGATAAATAGTTTGGGGCTGAATAACAATTGCTGATATGCAGCCTTCTCTTCTGTGCTCATTTCTGCAACTTTTCAAGGATTTTACTGTTCCAGCAGTTTTCTTCTTGCTGTATTTTAGTAGGGTCCTAAAATCTTGTTAAGCTCTGAAAGTCTCTCCTTTTTCCCTTTGTTCCTGCAAGATACAGGACATGGGATGAGCAGAACATCAGTTCTAACGACGCTGTGTGGTCAGACATTTTTTTATGCCAAACCAAAAGCAAGCTTTTTGTTATTGCTCCATTTCAAAGAGATAAGAGCAGGTTTCAAGCAGGGTTAGTGCCTCAGAATAGCACTGCTGAACACATCAGGCCTTTTGGGATAAAAACATCTACATCAGTAGATAACAGTGATGAAAATTCTATGGGAGATGTCATGTCACAGCTCTTACCAGCTTGTGTTTCTGTGTCACTCTTTGCCTTTGTTATCTTTCACTCCTTGCCCAGAAATGCTGATCCATGTGAGCTCTAAGCTAGCATACAAATCACTTATTTTGGGAGCAGAGTCCTGGCAAACAAATGCAGGAGTAGTATCATCTTTGAGCAATACTGTAAAAAGTGATGCCTGGTGGAAATTCAGCTCAGCCAACAAAAGAGTACAGGGAAAAGGAAGCTCAGTCCTTTGTGCCATTTTATTCTGACAGTAACTTCAGGCACTGCTGAAGATTCTCCCTACTTTTCTTCTTTTTTCTTCTGCAAGATGCCTGAAGAAAAACTTTCTCCATCAGGAAGATATTACTGTGAGTTTTTGGTGTGGCATCCATCACTGGGATGTAAAAGTCCTTAGATGTTGTGTGGTCTCCTAAGCTCATCTGAAAACAAAGGGCCAAAACACCAAACCCATGACTTCTGACACACTTGTGTGAACTGATCAGTGGAGTGGGAGGGATCCAGGTCATGGATGTCTCCTTTGGTCTTGAATAAGCAGAGGTGGGATGACTTGGGGGGGAAGTGTTAAATGGGAATAACTTTCAAAGCATAAGAATCTGTTCTTCCCTTCTGGTGTGTGTTGGCTTTGAAGAACTGATCATGGAAGCTTTGCTTATGCCTTAGAGGTTTTGCCGTCATATTACCGGGGCTTTTTTTTTTCCCTATAGGTGATACACAGTTATTAGCAAGACAACCCCCATTTTTGGGCTGGATAATATTTCAAAACATGTAGGAATATTAAGCAGAGTTCTCTGGGAGTATCACATTCCCTCCTTCTCCTCCCATGAATGTCCATGCTCCATTTCCTTCTCACCTCCAAAGCTTGTATGGATAGTTGTTCATTTTTAACATTCTTTTTTTAAGGCTAATGATTCTAAACAATGCTTCTTAGTGCTTTCTAATAATATAAATGGAAATGAGGCTTTACAGGGAGTCCAGCTCAAGGGGAAAACTGGCTAGACTTTCATAATTGGGCATTGCAGTGGAGCACATTCACAGCAGAGTACAGATGCCCACTGTCTTGTGGATAATATCTGATTACATATTTTTAAACAAGCATAAAAGTCACTAGCTGTTAAAATGAGGATTTGAAGGCATTTTTTGTTTTCAGGGTACTGTAGGTGAGTCATCTGATACCCTCTGCCACCAACTGTACTCAGGGAAGGATTCCCAGGTTATCCTTCCTTTGCAGGAGAGCAGGAGCATGTGAGGCAGTGATGCCTTTTTCTTATCTAAAGTTCACTTGCACTGCCTGATTTGTTTGGGTTTTGTTGCTCAGCTGTTGGTTTTCAGTTTCTTTTTCTGGCATTATAGTCGTGTTTTGATGAATTTAAGTTGTGTCAAGTCATAATCACTGGTAAAAACAACACACTGTACTTAATTTCACTTGGAATGACACTGTTCTTAACTCCCAGCCCATGCATGCTGCTGGGTTTTGCTTTGGGCTAAAGATATGTGTGTTTCACTGCAGTCTGGAATGGAGCTGACTCCTCTAGATACTCAGGGTAACTGAAATGGCTTGACAGGGTGCTGAGCCACCTCATATGAACTACAGTAGTACCTAGAAAGGTTGGACTAGATGATCCTTGAGGTTCCTTCCAACCTGACATTCTGTGAAATACTTTGTTATTTCAGGCTTAACCTCCTTCTCTGCCAGCCATCCATTTAGATTTCTGTGCTAAGCAGTTTCTTTACACCTTCAGATTAAAAACAAGCAGCCTCACAGCTCTTACAGAAGATCCCACCAATTTCTACCTGAGCAAATGAAGCAATTGTCTTTCAAGTCTCTGCTTGAGGCTTTGACAAGCTCTGTTGTTCTGCCTGGAGCTCTGGGGCAGCCCTTGGCCCTGTTGAAGGTCTGCAGAGTCCAGTGCCTTTTGCATCAAGGTTTAATTGCATTGCTGCTGGATCCCTCTGCCTGGTGAGATTTGTGTTGTTTTGGTTACTCAGGCATGACACTGAAATGATTAATACATGTTTTCACATCCCAACACACATGATTTATTGCAGCAAGCTTGCAGGTCTACAAGCTCTGCTTCCCTCTTCATATCTCTCCTGGCACCCATATTCTGCTGTGTTTACTTTTCTTCCCCCTTTCCCCTACTGCAAAATATTATTCCTACTGTATGTAGACAAAACCAGGACAGATCTCTTGGCTCCTGCACACACACTTACGGATGCTACAGAACTGCAAAACTATCTCTTTCTCTTCACAAACGTTGACTCTTAAGGTGAAAGATGATGAGCTAAAGTTGTTGTTGATTTACACTGTCTCAGTTGTGGTCCCCCAAATCTTTTCTGTTTCCTTTTTGGGAATAATTCTCTCTGTTGCCAGTTTTTAGGCCTGGAGTCTCATTGGCTTCCAGAAGAGCAGCTCATTTTTAAGATGAGCTTTTGCTGGTATCATAGGGCCCATGCAGTTTTTATCTTAAATTCTTTTTCTTTTCAGTGTGCAGCTTATTCCAGCTTTTGAGAGAGGCCAAGTCTTAGCATAGTCAGTACATTCCTTTTTGCCTGCTCATATTTGCCTTCTACAAGTCAAGCTCCTGAGATCATAGCTGCATCAGATCAAGAGACTTTCATTTTCTCTCCTATTCTTCACCTTAATTTATTCTGTGTAACTTTTGAGGGGTAGCATTTGTGATGATTGAGGGCAAGTAAAGAGCACACTGCAAACTGAAGGAGTCCAATGGGAGGGAGGGCTTTTTCCTACTGAATAGATTAGACAATAAGCTTATCTAATGCTGGCAAATAGAAGATATTCCTTTAGAAAGTCTTGTCTGTAGCCAGGGAGATATCCTTTTGAGCCTGCATTTAACAGCTTTACCCAAAAATACCTGCATGCCAAGGCTTGAATTTGTATTTCAAGGGTATGTCTTGATTCATATACTGCTAGATTCAAGAGGAGACTAAAACTTCATATTTGAGTTAAGAAAACCTCTAGTAGCTTAATATATGAACATCATTATTTTTTTTCAAAGCACGTGTCAGAAT